TTCGCACGAGAATGAAAAATCATTTCCATATCAAGGACTGAGCACCTACCCTCGTTTTGAAACAGAGGCCCAGGGGAACTCGGAAATGGCCTATTTAACTAGCTTCACTTCAGAATTCTACGCTTTATAAATGTCCAGGTAAACAACAGAAACAAAAACCATCTGGTCAATGATTTTTGCGTCAACCGTTTTCCTTATCTAGGATATTAGTTTCCGTCTCTGTTTCTTAAAAAGGATGGAAATTTTCAATTCCCTTGTCTTTAGATAGGACTAGTGTTTATAACCTTTTACGGACACACAACTCTTAAATTGGCCTAAGAGCTTCGCGGACACTTACTGGTACTTCCGTTTTACTTTTTAGTTTCCTAGCCCTCCAGGTCAGGAAAAGAACGGTCCCAAGATGGGGCCTCGTGATGAAAACCCCCACATGAATAATGGTGCCATTGTTCTAACAAACGTAGTGAGTACAAACCATTAAACATAGCACATATGTATTTAAGGGAATCAATCACGTTATGGTGCAATTGTTAGGGCCTTTACATAGAGGTGGGGAATCCCAGATAGGTGAGGTAACATGTGGCGGGTCACCTTACCTATGATGTAAAGGTGATGAAATTAAAATGTATCTCGATAGGCGGGTTACCCCACCTTAGCGGGTAACCTCACTTACCTGGGTTCCCCCACCCCCATGTAAACAGGCCCTTAGATGTGGTCTGGCTCGCGGCGCAAGGATCATGGGAAAGCGTCAAAAACACAATCACAAGGAAAGGCTCAACGTAATAAGCTTTCCATTTTCCTCCATGCAACCTCGTTCCCAGGGTTATCTCTCCTGCTTCTTTCTCGAGGCAAGAGGGGGAACCCTGGGAACGCGATTGCCTTCCCATGACCCCTTCCGTTGCGACTACCTCAAAATATCCCAATAAGCGCCTGGGTGCGAGGCGGAGATGTGGTTGTGTTTCACTATGCCGCATCAATTTAGGTCAATTTACAAGGTATAATATTAGTAATTTAGGGACGTGTTTTATCTAGCGGGCGTTTTATCAAGTTTTGCGCCGATGGAATTTTTATACATGCTCTTGTTTTCAACATACCTTCTAAAAGGGCACATAAGAGCTCACAGGTTTTTTTGAAGGAGGCAATAATCATTATTTAATTTCAATGCTAATTCACATTTGGATAAGCCTACAGCTTGTTCAAGGCAGTACTCACTCGTGAACATGTCATTCCAGAGCCTTCGCGTTCGTATTGCTAAATTACTTGCAAGTCACATGAACGTTTAAAAAATGGTCGAGGACATGTATAGCTCTAAGTCTCTCTCCTCCGCACAGGCTCTCGCTGGGTATCCTTATTATATATATAGAAATAGCAATAATCGAAAAAATAGAAAGCGCACGGGGGACGATGGAAAGAGGGAAAAGGCGGGAGCCTCTCTTCTCTCTTTCCCCTTCCCATCGTGCCTCGCGCGCTCTGTTTTTCTTTCTCCCCAGCCTCCCCACAACACAAAGAAGCCTCTGGGGAGGAGAGAGGCTCTAAATCCTAAGATTCTGGTCCTAAGGTACTGTGAACCAGTGGGCGTATAGTGGGAAGATAGGATTCTTTATCCAATGAACGACAAAAGCAAATTGCGTGTGGTGAAATCAAAACAGACTTTTTTTTTTTAATGTTGAACAGAATGCCATAGGTACCCTTGGAAATCACACGGGTGGAGCTCAACAAGACCATCCAAACAGAGACAGCTTGCCAAGCCATTCTACAGTCAGTGACAAGGGAAGAAGGGCAAAGGTTTCACTCAGAAGTATTTCCACTGTGGCATGGACGATAATAATAGGGGATACTCTCCATAACATCAGTGATGGATTGGCCATTGGTGCCGCTTTCGCAGAAGGTGGAAGCTCGGGTGTTTCTGGTGGAATCAGTACTTCTATCGCTGTGTTTTGTCACGAGCTGCCTCATGAATTGGGTAAAGATGTTAATTTTTAGTTACGTATCTGACTGGGCTGGCCGTTAGACGATATTTCTATTATTCGTATGAATTCATCATTAGCACTTGAATCTTAACCCAATCAATAATACACCTTGTTCCCCCCCGAAAACAAAAACAACAACAATAACAAATTGCATCACCTTCGTTTTACAACAAGGAGCCCACTTGATTTATTCAAAGTCTTTGGTACAGATTTAATCCAATCAGAGGCCAGCTGGAAACTGTCCTCGAATTCTGATTGGTTAATATCTGCATGAAAGAATGTGAGTTATTTAAAGGTGGTCACACTTTTGGGATTCTTAACGTAATTTCTCCTCGGTATTAGAGACGCCCCAAGAAATTTTGAAAAGGGTCTTGAGAGGGGGTGGGGGAAGGGGGGAGGGTAGGGTCCTGATCCCGCATTCTTGCTCCTGTTTCTCGAGAATCAGGCATCCCGAGCTCCTTTCATCGCTATCGCTATCCCGATCCCGAACGTCATTTTCTTTCCGAATACCGCACCCGTGCATAAATTTTGCTAATAATTTAAACCGTTATTAAATTATTAATATTATTGTCTATTTTAGGATCTAATCAGCTATAAAATTTATAAACAATGGTAATGTAAGGCTGATTTATGAGCAAGGGAAATTTTCTTGATTTTTCACCCAGGCTCTTAACTTTTAAGACAACACAGGTCATCAGCGCGTGAACGTAGACTGTCTACGATATCTAAAATCGGCCATGATTGGTCAACTCTCGACAGTTAACTGTACTTCATATTTTCACAGCTGATAACTACAATAACTGTCAATAACAGAACACAATTTATCGTTTTTTTTCTTACATCACAGGGGACTTTGCAGTTTTGCTGACAGCCGGTATGACAGTCAAGATGGCATTGTTAGCCAACTTATTTTCTGCCATGTCTTGTTACATCGGCTTAGCAATTGGTATATACGTTGGTCAAGAAGCTGATGTGCGTTTCTGGATCTTTGCTGTCGCTGCTGGAATGTTCCTTTATGTGGCTTTGGTGGACATGGTAAAACTTTTTATCTTACTGAGATTACCAGTACTTTATGTCACAAGATATATATGTACGAAATAGCCCCTAGTTTCGGACAGATTAACGCCTTCAGTTAAGCTTGCAAAACAGGCTTTCTTCCCGCGTTTCTTTACGCGGGCACGAAGCGGGCGTGAAGGGCGAGACGAGCGGGACGGGGAAGGCGCGAAATAAAATTCTTCCGTGCCTTCCTCCATCACGCGTGTCTCGCGCTCCACACCCGCTTCGCTCGCCTGTTTTGAAGGTTACCTTCAATAAGGTGCCCTTCCCAAGGCTAAACGTATCAAATAAGCGCGCCTGCTCCTCCTTGACACCCAAAACAAAAGCTATTTTAAATACGCTACGAGCTCGTTTTTGATATATCACTCGCAAAGTTCGCACGTTCTTTAACTTATAAGCGCTTTATCTTGCGGTGCTGATGGATTTTCGCTATAAGTGCCCTTAATTAATGGTGGAAAACAATAACCTGGAAGGTTCTATCCTCAAGACAAAATGTCAGCAAATTGAGTTCAAATCTGTGAAAGAGTTTGAACCCAGGAGTCATTTCATAAGTAGGTTGATTATGATCTTTAGGGTGAACGTAGTCCTAAATAGGACTGTTGTTGACAATGACTGACGTTTCGACAACCTGTGCGATCTGCTAAGTAAGTAAGTAAGCAAGCCTTGCATTCCAATGTTTTAACCGGTAATTTTGTCATTTTTTAAACAGCTTCCTGACCTGATGCACAGCGAAACTCTTCGAGAAGAACCTGTCCATACGTTCTTGTTACAGAACTTCGGTCTGCTCTTAGGATTCGTCATTATGCTGATAATTGCGCTCTTTGAGGAGGACTTGAGGGCAATTGACTTTTAGCACAACTTGAAATGAGCAGCCTCGTTTAAAGGCAGGGAGAGGGGAGAGGGCAAAGGGATAAGGGGATTGTAATGCAAGGGAGTGGAGGAGAGGGGTGGGGGTTTGTAATGCACGGGTCGGGAACAACCAATGATAAAATAACCTTTCTAGGGTGCCTTCTCCCCGTTTAGTTTTATCGGTATAAAGGAGATAAGTTTACAGCTGACACGGCACCATTTGTATTAATCAACCAGCTTCGGTGTTACGAGTTATACGGTTAAGCATTTCATTGTAGATATTTGTTTTTAGTTTCAACGAATTATTATTCTTTTTAACAAAAAAGGGCAACCTAACTTACCGATTATCGGATAATAACCCCTGAAAAGCTGTACTTTGTCAAAAACCACTTTTATAAGCTTTTGCCTGCGCAATTTGTAGAAAGTGTTGAATACTAGAGAGGTGTAACGGCCAACCTGGCTCTTGTTAGTTTTGGAGCAATTTTAAGGAAGAAAAATTGAACTTTAGGGCCCTTTGGTTTTTAAAAAACTGACATTTTTACTAAATCCAACCTTGATCAGTATAGTATAAGGCTATTTTTGGGGGAGCATTTCGTTTGTGTTTCCGAAAAATCACAAACTAGTCTGTTTTGTATTTTAACAAGCCAACTGGAAGCAGGTCATTGCGTTGGTTAGTTCTTTCATTTAATTCTTTACCCCACAGTTCCTTCAGAGGGTTTTCATATATTCATCATTTCAATGTTGAGGTTAAAAAAAACCCGTTATTTCTAAGTACAAAGCACTAATAAAAATGAAAACTCTGTACTAGATGGAGAAGCCACAATCAAACGAAAGAAAGCAGCGGAAGACTTTCTTATCGGGCTAACTTTAGTGGCCTTCATGGATAATGAGAAACTATTCGCTTACAAAACTGTTACTTATTTTACTTACACAAAGAACGTTTTACATATTTAATCAAGCTTTGATTACAATGCATGCACCAAGTGGAAATAAACATAGTGAGATATTTAGAGGGAAAATAAAATAGATTTACTTTGAAAACAATGGCACAATCATTATTGATGCATTAGAACACTTCACTTACATGAGATTCTAAGTAGTTGTTTCGCTCGGAGTAATTCGGAAATAATCCTAAGAGCAATTACCCCAGCTAAGTTAACTTCGTGGCTGTCCTTAGCTGCTGATGTTTGCTGTGATCTTGGTAATCCGTCACAGGCATATGCCTTCAGTTCACCAGGATGTAATTTTGTAAATTTTCTAAATGATTCACCAAAAGACCAGTTATTAACAGCTTGCACCTACAGTACACAGGGGAATGTTTACAGAAACCTTGGCCAGTACAGAAAAGCTAAAGAATACCATGAGAAGGCCCTTACCATCAGAAACAATATTTACAATGAACACCATGGTGAAGTCGCAACATGTCTTAACAACCTGGGAACTATTCACCGGATCCTTTGTGAGTACATTCAAGCTAAAGAGTACTATGAAAAGGCTCTCAAGATGAGAAAAGAGATTTTCGGGGAGAACCATGGTGACGTAGCAGCAAGCTACAACAATCTGGGATGTGTTTGCGACCAGCTTGATCAGTACAGCCAAGCTACAAAATATTATGAGAAGGCTCTCGCCATAAGAAAAGAGATGTATGGAGAAACGCATGTTGACGTGGCAGCAAGCTACTTCAATCTAGGTTTTGTTCACACAGACCTTGGCCAGTACAGTCAAGCTAAAGATTACCATGACAAGGCTCTAAGCATCAGACAAGAGATTTGCGGTAAGCTCCATGCTGACGTAGCAGCAAGTTACAATAGCCTGGGAATAGTTTACAGTAACCTTTGCCAGTACCGTGAAGCTAAAGAGTACCACGAGATGGCTTTAGTCATTAGAAAAGAGATTTATGGTGAGCACCATAGTGATGTAGCAGAAAGCTACAACAACCTTGCAACTCTTAACAGTGACCTTGGCCAAACCTGGCAAGCTAAAAAATACTATGAGAAGGCCTTAACTTTAAACAAAAAGATTTACGGTGAACACCATGGTTACGTTGCCGCAGGCTACTCCAACCTTGGAATTGTTTAAAGTGACCTTTGCCAGCACGGTGAGGCTATAAAGTACTATGAGAAGTCTCTGATCATTAAAGAAGAGATTTACGGCGAATATCATGGTGACGTGGCAGCAAACTACAACAGCCTGGGAAATGCGAACCTTCGTCTTTGCCAGTACAGAGAAGCCAAAATCTGCTTTGAGAGGGCTCTGCTCATTACAAGAAAGATTTACGGCGGGCGTAACGGGCCGCATGTGGCAATAAGCTACGATAACCTGGGAAGTGTTTACAGAGACCTTTGCCAGTACCGTGAAGCTAAAGAGTACTACGAGATGGCACTAATCACTAGAAAAGAGATTTACGGTGAACACCATGATGACGTAGCAGAAAGCTACATCAACCTGGGAAATGTTTACAATAACCTTGGCCAATACAGTGACGCTAAGGAGCTCTTTGAAAAGGCTCTAGATATCGTAGAAATGAGTTTCGGTGAACACCATGGTCTGAGCTTAGCAGCATGCTACAATAACCTGGGGAACGTTTACAAAAACTCTGGCCAGTACAGTCAAGCTAAAGATTACTATGAGAGGACTCTAGCCATTGTTAGAAAGATTGATGGTGAATACCATGGTAACGTACAAGCAAGCTACAGAAACCTGGGAAATATTAGCGGTAAACTTGGCCAGTATAGTCAAGCTAAAGAACACCATGAGAAGGCCCTAACCATCGGAAAAAAGATTTATGGTGAACAACATGGTCATGTAGCAATAAGCTACACTAACCTGGGAAGTGCTTGCTCCTACCTTGGCCAGTACAGTCAAGCAAAAGAGTACTTTGAGAAAGCTTTAACAATTAATGAAAAGATTAACGGTGAATACCATTGTGAGGTAGCAACAAGCTACAACAATCTGGGAGACGTTTACACACACCTTGGCCAGTACAATCGAGCTAAAGAATACCACGAGAAGGCTCTAACCATTAGACCAAAGATCTACGGAGAACACCATGATCTCGTAGCACAAAGTCACAACGGCCTAGGGGTTGTTTGCAGCTCGCTCGGGGAGTACATCCAAGCTAAAAAGCATCTTGAAAAGGGTCTCGCCATGCGAAAAGAGAAACACGGAGAACAGCATGGTGACGTAGCAAAAAGCTACTTCAACCTTGGACGTTTTTACAGTGACAAAGCTCAGTACATTCAAGCTAAAGAATACTATGAGAAGGCTCTAACCATTGACAAAAAGATTTACGGTGCCTACCATAGTGACCTAAGAACAGAGTATCACAATCTGGGAATTGTTTGTAGTAACCTTGGCCGGTACAGTCAAGCTAAAGAATACAATTAGAAGGCTTTAACCATTGGAAAAGAGGTTTATGGTGAAAACCACCGTTTCGTTGCAGCAAGTTACAACAATCTGGGGAAAGCTTGCAGTGACCTTGGCCAGTACAATCAATCTAGAGAATACCATGAGAAGGCTCTGTCCATTAACAAAGAGATCTACGGCGAATACCATGGTGACGTGACACTTAGTTACAATAACCTAGGGGTGGCTTATAGCCACCTTAGGCAGTATAGTAAAGCAAAGGAGAACCACGAGAAGGCTCTAACTATTACAAAAGAGATTTACGATGAGAAGCACAATATTGTTGCCCGAAGTTATTCAAATCTCGGCTGTACTTACAGTGACCTAAACCAGTATCATCTAGCTAACGAATGTTTCCACAAGGCTTTGAACATATATAAAACAGTTTACGGCGAACAACATGCTGAAGTGGAAAGAACGTATCAGAACTTAAGAATCGTTAAAATGCGACAAGTAGAAGAAGTTCTCAGACCATACAACATCTGTTGCCAGGAGCATTATTATTATAATTTGAACCTCAGCTGGCAATTTTATCCGACGATCTAAAGATTATATCAGTGATTTATCTCATAGAAACTCATCTGAATTACGTTTAGTGTTCAGGTAATTCAGTTAAAGGGGCCCTGTCATGCTATTTTCCATATTTTTTATAAAGCTAAAACGTGTCTTTCCGTTAATTGTATTCCGAAAATAATAGCCCAGATTTGTTTTTTAAGACTTAAATTAGGCATGGAAACCGTTTCCTGTCGTCTATAGATGGTTTCACAGTGACGTCATCAAATTGTAAAGTCAAAATAGCGAGGTTCTACGAATTCTTTTTTACACTAGGTTAAAGATAAACAAAAAGTTAATCTTTGTACAAGTTTCCATTCCCGTAACATATTTCATTTGGAAAATACAGCAATTTGAACTTCCAAGTTTTCACTGTGCGTGACACCAAAATAGGAATGCTGTCTCGTTGACAAAAAGTCTCTCCTCTTGATTTTCAGCAGCATAACCATTTCAGCTATTAGAAGATTTATGTTTATGCGCACGTATGCTAGTTCTCGAGTGAAAAGAAAGAGCTTTTATAAAAAAAGTGAACTCCAGATGTTTTTGTTGATTTCCGACGGCCATATTGGTGCACCAAAACGGTGCACCAATATGGCGTCTCCATACAAAGCTCTACAAAGGTACGTGAAACGTTTTGGCAGATAACTCAAAAACTGTGGGCCACAAAGACCTGAGACTTGGACAAATTAGTTATATATTAGTCTTTTATAACATTTCATTTTCTTGGCTTCTTCCACCGAGGGGTTTTCAATTTAATTTTTTGTTGCGTGACAGTGAAAACCATCTATTGCCACGGATGGCAGGAATGGACATGGATTGAAGCTGGAAAAAGTTTGGCTGACTTTTTCAAGTCGAAATGCTATGCCCACAAAAATCTCCAAAAATGGATTATGATTAGTGCTCCCTGGTGAAATCTGTTCGATATCTTCTTCATAACTAAGCGAGAATTTTGTATGTGGGTAAAAGCACTACAATATATCTTCGATGACCTAGTCTCTTTTTAACATCGGTTTGTAACATCGGTTTCAGTGGCGGATCCAGGGGAGGGGTATGGAGGGTCCGGTCGCCTCCCCTATTTTTAGACCAAACTGAGACCCGAAGGGCCGAAAAAAAAATTTGGAGACCTTCCCCCCCCCCAACCTCCATCTTATCTCAGGGTCTGGTCTGTTGGAGGGCAAGAGTATGCCCTCGAACATGGCGGCCAATACAAATCATACTACTTTGTTGAAAAATCAAAGTGCCATAAAATATCTCCCTTAAATGAGTTTCCTCTCAAATTTCGGGGGGAAGATTATTTTTATGAGCTCTGTCAATTTTTGGCATCAGCAAGATTCTAACTCATTGTTTAATGGAAGTATTGGTCACGTGACCTTTTAGTGCAAGTGGCCTATATCGGGCTCAAGTGTTCAGAGATAACTGGAACTGTTATGCTCTTTCACTATTCAGGGAATTTATTTCATTAGCATCATCAGGTAATAGTAAGCATATACTAATGAGGCAAAAAGTGTGAGACGCTCTGGTCTGTTATTTTGCTTCCTCTTCCACTCGTCCCCCCGAGCGATGAGTAGGAGAGGATCCTGGAAACAACATTGTAGGATGCGGAAGAGGGGCACTGCAGTGCCCGCTTGAACCCCACAAGATTCAAGTGCTCTTTCAACTTCTTATTAATTGCCAACGAGCAGCCTAATAAAGCCGTGAGCGAAAGTTCCAAGGCAGAATGAACCTCGAAGCGATGTAACATAAGGAAGTGTAAGGTAGCTTATATGACGTAATGCAGAACAGAGAATCCACGAGCCGTGCGCGTGTTGGTGACTCCCGTGCTCATCCCGTCTTCAACCAATCGTCGGGTGGATTGATTTGCAACATACGCGTATGGCTGTCGCATTTGCCCGCTGGCTAAAGCGACAGCTATACGCGTATTACTTGAAATTACGGTAATTTATGAACAGCGGGCGCGTATAGGTAAAATCTTTGCTGGTTGGCACTTAGCGACAGCTATAACTAGTATAGCACTTCTGCTTATTTCTTTTGCCTTATTGTTAATTGTTGTTAACCTCAAGTAACTGTATAAGTTTTTCAGGCATGCGCGTCCACACCGTTAGTTATGCTCCTTGGGTCACTTGGGCCAATCATTTGTTATCTGGTACCGCATTTAAGCCTAAATATTCCATACAAATTCTCCACACTGATATCTGAGAGAATTTATTTAAAGATTCAAGCAGTTTCCTTTAGGTAATCATTTTACTAATTCTCATAACCTAACTCTTGATTGAGTAGAGACATTGTTAGGTGAAAATTGATGTTGATCATTCTTAGGACTTCAAGGATCATGAAGTGCAGTGGCGGATCCAGGGGAGGGGCCGGGGGGCCGGCACCCCCCCCCTATTATTGTTGGACCAAACTGGGAGACCGCCCCCCCCCCCCATATCTAAGGGTCTGTTTGATTCCCCCCCCCGCCCCTTATCTCAAGGTAGCAGTTCTGTCCGTCGCACGCTGTTTTCGTTTTTAACCGAGCGAGTCGATTACCTTAAACTGCCACTTATTATCCCTGGGCTTATACACTTTAGTCTGATTATATCCGAGAGGACTTATAACCGGAATAGAAAACGTACTTCGAAACAAGCTATAGCAATAATGATCATAATACATCTTCAATGCGACAATTAGACTGCGAGCAGTCTCTTATTTTTCTTTGCAAAGTTACTACACGCAAAACCTAAGCACGCGAGCGGCGAAGCCTCTTGCCGCGAGAAACGAGGGCGTCTCGTCTCAATCCCTATATAATAGGCTGATTTAGCAACAGAACGGAAACGTCAGTTGACGACGGCGTGCGCAAATCAAACAAATGGCTTGACCATTGGCAGAGCGGCAAATTAGGAACCAGAAGTAGAGTTTAGTCCTTTCCGCGCGCTTTCCCGTCGTCAAATAACGTTCCCGTTCTGTTGCTAAATCAGCCTAATAACATCGTGGTTTGCAATCGCGCTGGATGTGATCAAGAACTAGACGGATTTTAAGAGAAAAGGCAGACTACAAGCAGTCTATGCGACAATAGCCACTCATTGCCGAGCTATAGTTAAGTTCTGGGGAAAACATTTTGCCCCCCGGGCATTTTGCCCAGGCAATGAGCAGAAAATACACAGGCAGACGGATACACGTCGCCGAAGGGGAGCAGGGTGGGAAAAAATTTGTGCTAGTAGTTCTCGTAAGCAAAACTTCGCGAAAAGAGGGAAAACGTGACTTTAAATAGGTAGACTACGGTCCCCAACGACCAGTAACCGGCTGTGTAAAAGGAAAGACATGATGGGACGATAGCGCGGCTAAATTTCGTGACTATTCTCGTAGTGAAGCTAACAATAATTTCGCATTTACGGGTTTCAAGCTTCAACACGTCATAAACAAATCGATCATTTCAATACAAGCTAGAGGGGGGCTTTATATAATCACATACATTTTTTTGTTTACAAGTCAGGGAGGTAGCCTGCAAATACAGTCGTTTCTCCTTGCTCCTCTCGCTGCTCAGGACGTTTCGCCAGGAAGAACGTCTGCGACTCGGCGACAGAAATTCCACACCGATGACATAAAATCTGTCCGGAATCTGGTCAGGAGCTCTGATTGGTCGACGTGGCAGTAGTCTGCTACACAGCCGTTTTTAGTGTCGTCACGCAAAGCTCCTCCCCACTTGCGTGACGTAGCAGTTATATTGTTTTACCTATATTGTTTAGAAATGAAAGCCAAAAGGCCACAAAGTCAAGTGTAAACGTGATGAATCTACCACAAAACAGTCAATATTCCTAGAATATATTCTTCTTCAGGAAAAGCATGTGAGTTTTGCTGGAGCTCGTTCGCAGAAGAACAGGAAAAACATAAAATCAAACAAATTTACATTTGGAACCTAATGACTACCGGATTTAATATGTAAACATTGATTTAAGTCATCAGTATGGAATTGCTGTCAATGAGTCGCAGACGTTCCTCCTGGCGAAACGTCCCTTGCGGCGAGTAGCGAGGAGAAGTGGTAGTGGCTAGGTACTACAATAGATAGATGGGCCTATAACTAGCGCGAGGCTTATAAGTGTGGGAGGCTGTTTGCGGTATTTAAATACATTAATGGATACGGGTGGTTGTCGATTTGGATTGCGGAAGTCTAAAATGTAGTGCACGTACAGATTGCACCTTGCTGGCATATAAATAAAACGACTTACGGAAGACATATCCAGCCTCAAACTTAAGTTCCCGTACTAAGTAATAAAGACTAAAATAACCGATTATCAGAGTGAAATAACCAGAACTTTCACACTGACTACAAAGTCCACAATGTTCATATTAGGTATATATTGGGTGGTTGCAGATTGGGATTGCGGCAGTCTAATATTCGTGTACGTATACTCCAAGCAAGTACCTCGGGGGAAGCACATACCAAGCACGCACTTGAATAGAATCTAAAACTGAGACAATGGACCAAAATCCTCAACTATAACTGAGTAGATGAGACATAGCAGTCATTATTGTGGGTCACAGGCATAGAAAAGTGTCGAACTAGCACGCATACAGCTAACCTTGGTCAGTCTTTGAAAAGAATCCAAAACTGCCACTAACCATCGACTAGAATTATCAGCTGCCATAGTAGATTGTACGGATAGCATGGCACGGATCAAACTCACAACTGAGAGTCTTCAGTTCAGTTTATTTCCAGTGTGTTTACTACTAGGAAAACTTGAGCTGGTTTTTAAGTCATGCAGCAACTAGCGCACCTCCCCCCCCTCCCGAATTGTCATCATTTGGTATTTTTCTAGATCTTGGAGCGCGTTTCTCTGCTTTTATTTCCAGAGATGCGATTTTTTACAAAATTCAAATGAGGAAATTGGATAGCTTTACAAGATCGAGAAGTATGT